TATATTTTTACATAACACTCGTGGAACTTTTTCAGTTTTCCTACTCTATTCTTCAAAAAATAATGCATTATCATTATCTGTTTGCATATTTCAAAATAATATAACTCAAACATACAGAAACAATGAACTGATTTTTACTGGCCAATCTGGAACACATTTGCAGACAGGGAGTTATAAAGGTCTAAATGAAACATATTGAACTATAAGTCCCACATCTTAACATTATTTCCAGATTTTACTGATGGCAGCTTCCTGAAGGGAGAAGTTTGCACATCAGTGGCGTGAGATTGCTTAAGGTATTTATTTTAATTTATATTAATTTATATCCTGTTTTTAATTAAGGTAGCTCTGGATTTGTTTTCCCTCTCTTTCCCTTTTGAGGAATATACCTTGACTGTACCAAAACCATCTCCTCTTTGAATGGACCCCATTTTAGCTAGTTTCTCCCATCAACAATTTGTTGCACTTTATTAGGCTCATTCTGGCCATAATTGAAATTATCCCTCCTCCAGTCATTTATTCTTACTCTGGATTGCCTACTATCCTTGTCTATCTTTGTGAACAAAGGTGTGATGCAATTCTCCAGTTCTCTTGCACCTCCCCGACTCTAAAGACTGAACAATTCTATTCGGTGCCTTTGCAATTTCCACTCTCACTGCCTTCTATAACCTTGTGGAAGCATCTTCTCAATATCTAACTTGTCGTGTCCTTGAAAACCTTGGTATTTCAATAAAGTCAGCCCTCATCCTTCTAAATACTAATCCATTTAGCCTTTCTTGATAAGTCAACCCCTTCATGCCAGGAAGAAGCCTTGTGAATCTCCTTTGAAAAACCTCCAATACAGCCGGTCCATCTATCCTTTTTAAATATTGGCTCCAAAACTGTACACAATGCTCTAGATGTGGTCTTTCCAACCCCTGTACATTGTAACAAGACTTCCCTGTTTTTAAATACCAAGCCCCTGGCAATAAAGGTCAAAATTCCATTTGCCTTCATAACGTTTTGTGTTTCATGCACAAGAACTGCCGGATCGCTCTACGCTGCACTTATTTAGAGTCTCTCTCCATTTAAATAATCCTCTGCCATTTCATTTTTATCAAAGTGTATGACATCACACTTTCCGACATTAAATTCCATTGGCAATTTTTTTGCCCAATCACTCAACCACTCTATATCCCCTTGCAGATTCCTATGTCTTCGTCACAACATGCCTGCCCACCTATTTTTGTATTGTCAGCAAATCTGGACATAATACATACTGACCCCTCCTCCAAGTCATTAATATTGATAATAAATAATTGAACTTCACAGTTTCACCAGAACCTAATGGATTAAAATTATCCTGGCAAGTTGCATTAATTTGTTTTATATTCCCTTGAGTTTCGAAGTTTGAGTTGTAATCTAATTAAGATCTGTTAAAAGCATTAGAGGTTTTCTATAGCGTAGATATGGAGAAACCATTGCCTCTGTTGCGGAATCAAAACAAGGGACATGATCTTAAAGTTAGAAGGAGCTTTTTAGATATTATGTCCATCTTTGACAACGACCATGACCAAATACTACTTTTTCAACCGACAGTTAAATTTTAAAACTTCTACAAAAAACAACTCAATATTGAATAATTGAGACTGAGAGTGAGAAGTAAACAATGGATTTTCATTTTGCCGTCTGCAAAATACGTGTATGCAACTGATGCCTAGTTCTACCTTTCCATCTCTATTGTGCAATACAATGTCAAGTCTGGGAAATTTCACCATTTCTTCCAGCCAAAGTAACAAACTTCATTGGTAAATAAGTGACAAGATTAAAAACATAAAATCAGGTACACCCAATTATAAATCTTATATACTTAAATACTCACTGGGGTTAATGTTAAAAATGTAAACCTTATAAAATCTTTGGGGATCAGGTTTCCATATATCCTTCTGAGAAAGTAAAATAGATCAAGATTTGTTTTAAAAAAAAGCTAAATTATTTACTCTTCAATTTTTTTGGGGGGGGTTTGTGGCATTGGATCATGTCACTAGATGATGAATACTGATTGAGACAGACAAACAGAAAGGCCACTGCTGTTATTTTTAGCAATTGGTTGAGTCACTCTGAAAACTGACAGTGAGGCAACCTTGGAAAACAACATAGTCAGAATGTTCTAGGTTATATTTTGAGTAAAGAAACACAAGGTGAGTAAAAATACTGCTGGAATAAACATTTCAGAAAGCATGCTCATAGTGATAACATTTCTGTTTAATAATCAAAAGTAACACCTAAATCAATTATGTTGTTTGCTGAAGTCACTACATATAAATAGATTAAATGAATCTGCAGGTCTTATGGTTCCTGTTAATGTTCACAAACTACTTAAAAGTGAAAAACGAAATTTGTATCAGGAACAAGTTTTGCTCGTGAAAACTATTCATTTTGATTTGACAATCTTAATGGAGATATAACTGTTTTCTAAAGCATTTTCATCCCAGCAACAAAGGGACAAAATATTCTCCAATAATGAAAATTACATTTCAGTCTTGTAATTTGATTGTGTAACATTTGATATTTAGAGTGCTGAATGAGTTTGCAAGTTGAATATGGTGTGCAAGAAGATTCATTATGAACAAGAAGTGTTATATTCAATCAGGCTCCTCTGCAAGTGTGCATGGTGCACATCAACACTATTTAAAATCAAAGAATAACTTGTATAAGTAAGATTCCTTTGCCTATTATAGGGCCTTTATGTGATATTCGTCTGCTTCAGTGCCATGTATTAAACTCATCAAGTAAACTTGTGATATAAATAAGCAATAATGGATTCTTCACCAGTGTTATTTAAAGAGATTTGCAATACTTAACAGGTTAGTTGCTGGATTATAACTTCAGGCTGCATGGATACTTTTTGTTTCTTACCTGAATCTGCTAAACCAAGTTTGACTCATGAAAAGTAGGTGTTTTTGGCTGCTTTATAAATAATTTGATTGCAGTTAAAGTGGTCTGATAATGTCTTTGGAGTTGCCAGAAAAGAGGGAGAAACAGGACAATCAACAGGTTACAACAAGAGAGAGGAGGGTAAGGGCATTAAGCAGGAGGCCAGATCCTTAATGGATTTCCTACCCTTAATTATATTACACAAAAGGAGATTGTTACTGAGCCCTCATGCAACCACATATCGAGCCTCAAATCAGGACATGAACAGCACTGTGTATGGATGCTTAAGGTCACCTTGGCCTGCATGGATTCCTTTCAATCTTCAGCTGGTAACATGTCACAATTTGCTGCCCACTGAATCAGGAAGATCATCAAAACTCTCCACAGCAGGAGGAATATCTCTATCGTGTTTCCAATAAACAAGGCAAAGCCAGGATGAGAAAGCCATAGGGTTCATTTGCTTCGAAAACTTACCCAGGGTGTATGAATTTTGCCAGTCTACTTGCCCCAGTTTGTTCCACATCACCAGGTTGGTGTCTTTGGCAATCAGAAGAAATTCTACTTGAAGTACAGTTGATACGTGATTAACATAGAACATGAAACAGTACAGCACAGGAACAGGCCCTTCGGTCCACCATGTCTGTGCTGACCATGTTGCCATTCTAAACTAATCCCATCTGCTTGCCCATGGTCTGTATTTCTTCCCTGCATGTACATGTGTCTGTCTAAAGGCCTCTTAAACATAACTATTGTATCTGCTTTTACCACCTACTCTGGCAGTGTGTTACAGGCACCTAGCACCCTCAGTGTAAAAACCTTGCCTCATACATCTCCTTTAAACATTCCCCCTCTCACTCTAAACCTATACCACCTAGTATTTGACATTTCCACCATAGGAAAAAGACTCCAACTATCCACCCTATCCATGCCTCTCATAATTTTATATACTTGTATCAGGTCATTCTACAGCTTCCAATGCTCTATTGAAAACAATCCAAGTCTATTCAACCTCTCTTGTAACCAATACACTCCAATCTATCACATAGATCTGTGTCCAGTATCTTGGTTGCAGTCATTACTTAATTGTCCTGCAACAGTTCTCTATATGCACTTTACCCTAGTCAGACAGTCAACAATTATCTGGTAACAGAAACCATCTTCTCCAAATAGTGCTGAAGCTTTCTCTTAGTTAGCTGGGCATATTTGCGGAGTTGGCCTACAAACAAGCAACAAAAAACATGATTGAATAATCAGGATGCTCAAGCAACATGTATGTCACCCGGACAATTTTGGAAAATTTTGCAACACAAGTCTTAGATTTGTGGTTACCTTCTACATACACCATAATTTTGCATCATGAATCATCAGCCCATTGTGCCTCCTAATCAAACAGAAAATCGCCAAGATTGAGGATAACAAACAGCAGTGGCATAAAGCACAAGTGTTCTACATATCAGAGTTCACAAACAGCAATTAATTGAAGAGCACTACATATAAACCATCTCTCTAAATCTCCAGTGCACATACAGTAATAAGCATGGAAACAGGCCCTTCGCCCAAACTGGTCCTTGCTTACCATGGAGCCCACTCAGCTAGTTCCAATTGCCTGCATTTGGTTTATATCCCTCTAAACCCTTCTCATCCATGTACCTATCCAAATGTTTTTAAATGTTGCTATTGAAGTTCTGAAATCATTAGCCCCACAATGAGGTTAGCCTTCCCCATCCTTATGGATCTTCCCATCACTTCAGTATAAATATGGACACCAAAACTAAATCCAGAACAATAAATACATTTATCAGACTGTTAAATGTCATTTAATTGTTGTCATAAAAATTATGATTCAGAATAAAAGTCTGCAATTGCTGTGTTCTGCCACCAGGTTCACTGAAGGGAGATATATGTGAACTATAGTAAAGGACATCAAGGGAATGAAACTGATGGAGGAAAATGGAAGTTGAATGATTTACACTCTATTTTCATATACCTGCAGGTGTCTTGCACTACAAAATTAAGGTACACAATTTCCTTGGCGTGAAAGGGAAACAAATATTTAAGTCAGAATCTGACTGAGAACTTTCATCATGAATGCGACAACAACAGATGAAGAATTGGCAGATCAGGAAATAATGCAACATATACTGGAACAAAGTCTACTAGATATCTGTACACAGGATCCTTATTTGCCTTCTGTTGAAGCAGAATTGGAGGATTTCAGGTATAGTGCAGTAATCCTACCCTCATCTTATATTAAGCCATTACACCCTTCTGTATTCTTTCATGTGGACAGTGCTGGTAAAGCCAGCATTTTTTACCCACTTCTTGAACTGACTGGTTACCAGGTCATTCTATAGGACAGGTCAGAGTTAACCACATTGCTGTAAGTCTGGAGTACATGTAGGCCAAGACAAGGTAAGGATGTTCTTAACTAAAGGACATTCATGAATTACAACACTTGATAATTACCAGCTTAATTGAATTTAAATTCCATCTGTGGGTTTTGAACCTATGTCATCAGGGCATTTAGCTCGGTTGCTGAATTATTAGCCAGTGACATTGTCACAAAAGTACCACTTCCCCTCATATTATGGCCTTGTTCTAATAGAAATTATTCAGGTATACTGATCCAATGCTTCCATTCCTTTCGACACAAGTATGTAGTTTATTCAAACTATAATTAGCAACAACATATGCTCATGTAATATTGTCTATTCACACTGTAATAAGAAAAATTGGTTGCCAAACTGCTTTCTTCCCAGTGCCTTGCGATAGGACTGCAAGTTTTGATAGGAGTGAATTAAATTATACATATAACAGTGTATCAGATTTGAATGCAGAAAATGTTACCAACAGTATGAATATTTCAAACCATAAAATTACTCTGTTATTGCAGCAGCTCAATCTTCCAATTGAACTACAGTCTTTACCAAGGAATTAGCGGCTCCTTCAGACTTTAATATCACAGAACCAGACCTTGCATTTAATCACCAGCAATAACATCATTATTTATTTCAACCAGAAAAGGAAATCACACCTTGAAACTTAAACCAAATGACTAATTTTTATTAATTAACATTACATCCATTATAGAAGACATCATAGCTGAGTCCATACTATCTTCAACTGGTCACCAAGCAGAGCCACTTACCTTCAGCAGTCACTGGATAGCGATCAGGATTGAGAACCAATTAGTTATTTTGTAAAGTCCTGGCCATGATCAGCTGACCCAGCACAGATTAAAGATTAATGGTTCACAGTCCCTAGCAATCAGACTGTAAACTGTGGTTTATTCACTGAAGGAATAACTGTACATCTTTTCACATTTAGCCTAGGAAAACTTTTAAAAATTGTAACAGGGTCTCAGAGATCAACAGCTGCTCTAACCTAATGTATGACCAATCAACCCTGTTCAAATGCCTATTATATACTTCATTATATTTCATTTCATTGTATCAAACATATAATGTACTCCTATTGTTTGCATGCATCCTGGTATTTGACTTATATTTACAATAATTTTATTATCTTATTAAATAATTATATTATTTTAAAATGACTAAAAATAGAAACAATTGAATAGCTCAATGCTTCAGCAGCACTGAGACTTAAAAGCTTTAAAAACATGACAAGAAGTAAATTACCAAGTGTAGAGCAATTGTAAACTTCAAACTTATGTCTAAATGTGCAGTTCACATATAACCTTGCTTTTGTGCGTAGGTTCTTGCCAAGTAAAGAAAACAGGAAGGTTGTCGAAGCAATAAAAACAGGTGAATTAATGTACAATTACAGATGGTTTGGTATTAATCAGAATGCTTAAACAATGCATCTAAAAAAAGAAAACTAAGCACACATTCAACTAATAGTACTATCATATATGGATGGCTTTACTTGGCAGGCTTTTTTTTTTACTATGTCTTGTTTATTTCTGAGTTTGACTACTGCCTCACAACACCATGGACCTGGGTTCAATTTCAGCATTGGGTGACTGTGTGGAGTTTGCATGTTGTCCCCATGTCCTCGTGGGTTTCTGCCGGGTGCTGCAGTTTCCTTCCTGAGTCCAAAGATGTGCAGGTTAAGTGGATTAGTCATGGTTAATGCAGTGTTATGAGTTTGGGGGGGGCGCTGATCTGGTGGAATGCTGTTCGGCGGGTCGGTGCAAACTTGATGGGCCGAATGGTTTCTTTTTGCACTGTAGTGATTTTATGATTCTATGAAGTGTCTTCCATGCAGCAAATCTAGACAATAAACATGCACATTTCCTAAATGCATAGATATAAATATAAGAGTCAAATACACACATTACCCTGTGGTTAACAGTAATTTGTGAATTTTGGTTTGATTTCTAGGACTTAATATTTCCTTCATGTATTGTTAGGTGAATTGTCACTAGAGAGGAAAGGTAAAGGGATATTCCACTAAAATTGTACTCATTGAAACATCAACCTGCACAGAGTACTTACTGCCATATGCAGTTCTAGTATTTGTTTCAAAGTGTACTTTTATTCCTTAACTACAGACTTAACTACATTTAATACCTTGAGATTGTGTGTGTGCTATGGAGTGGAACACTTGATAGGTTGCCTCAATATTTGAAATTGTTTTCTTGTTATCATCCTGTAAATGACACGACTGAAGAATATTTAATTTCTAGGTCAGGAAGCAGATATCAAACAGCTGTCCATTCATTCCTGTGCGTTTAATGAAGCTGATGACAGAGGTTGGCTTCCTCTGCATGAAGCCGCTGCACAGTTAAATCAGGCAATTCTTGGAGCCACGTTCAAAGGTGACAATGTCAGTGTTAATGTTGTTATATACGTTCATCTGAAATCAACTGGAAAAACATCAATGTTGAGTTAGACCTTGCTCAATTATATCTTCAGATGTGTTCCATCTTTCAAATCTGATTGCTTTCAATAGCAGTAGAAAGGCCATTATTATCAACCCATGATGGACAAGGTCTGCTATCCATTGTTGATAGTTTACAGTTTTTGGGAAATCATTGTTTAGGATTTAGACTCTATAGCAACAATTAATACAGTATGTTGTGAGAAGGAAAAAAAAACAAAACTTTGCATTTGTTGGTAATACCTTGCAATCTTAAATATATTACACTTGTACTTGTATTAAAGTTTTACAAGGGGGACAAGAATTTCAAGAGAGATAGCAAGAACTACAGATGCTGGAGTCAGAGACAACACAGTGTGGAGCTGGAGGAACACAGCAGGCCAGGCAGCATCAGAGGAGCAGGAAAGTTGACGTTTCAGGTCGGGACCCTTCTTCAGAAAAAGGCAGCATCAGAGGTGAAGGAAAGTTGACGTTTCTGGTCGGGACTCTTCTTCAGGAAAAAAACTTCTGAAGAAGGGTCCCGACTCAAAATGTCAACTTTCCTGCTCCTCTGATGCTGCCTGGCCTGCTGTGTTCCTCCAGCTCCAGACTGCAATTTCAAATTGCGTATAGGGTTGTCACCTGCATTACTCTACCAGGATTGCTTACGAAAACATTATAAGAAATTGAATTTAAAATTGTATACCATTCGACTAAGTACGAGTAATCATTCAAACATCAATCTCTGCAATGTCCTTCCTGCCATACAAAGTTCTAGTATTTGTTTCATAATGTGCTTTGATACCTGAATATTTCAGTCATAGCATAGCATTCCTCTTCTATCAGGACACAGTCTAAACTACATTTAATGCCTTGAGATTCTGTGTGCACATGAAGTGCAATCCCTTTTAGAAAAAAAAACTCATTAACATTAAACGTTAAAAATCATCAAATTTAGAATATTTAGTCCCAGACACTCGTAGAAATTCTTCCACTGGACAGTAGAAAACTCTGAATGTTGGATTATTAAGAATGTGAAAGAATTACTTCTAACAAATGTAATTTATGGATTACTACAATAAGAGTAATGCTGACTGGAGATGTTAAAATCTCAAAGCTAGATATTTACTGTATGGAGATAGGAGGGAAAGAAGTTGTTCTGTTAAAAAGATTTTGTTTTGGGCTTTGCTCTGGCTACTAAGAACAAAACAATGTTGCATATCTGTCTTTCTAAAACAATAATCATTGCAATTTAGCAAGTTACTGTGAGCCGTTTAGGTGTAGTTGACAGAAGTAGATTTCTAACAGTACTTGAATCGCCAGATTTATGTTATTATTTCTAATAAATGTTTCATATTATTGCAGCTTCTCATCCTAGTACACGGGAGCAGAAGACGCTGAAGGGTGAAACCCCTCTCTTTCTAGCGGTTCAGTTGAATCTTATAGAAAATGTGCAGTATTTACTTGAGAAAGGCTGCAAACCCAATGCCAAGAATGAAGAGGGTGATTCTGTTTTAATAACTGGTGAATCTCTCTTTAACTCTGTGCTACTTAACTTGATCAAACATAAGGACTGAAATCAAAATTAATTTACTTATATTGCAATCTACCTACTGTACTTAGTTCTGTCATTAAACCGTAACACCATAAGATATAGGATCATAACTAGGCCAGTCTGATCTGCCATTCAATCATGGCTGATATGTTTCTCAACACCATTCTCCTGCCTTCTCCCTGTAATTCTTTATCTCCTCACTAATCAAGAACCTATTTATCTCTGTCTTAAAGACACTCAACAACTTGGCCTCTACAGCCGTCTGCAGCAATGAGTTCCACAGATTAACCATCCTCTGGCTAAAGAAATTCAATCATACAATCCCTACAATGTGGAAACAGGCAATTTGGCCCAACCAGTCCACACCAACCCTGCGAAAAACATCCCACCCAGACTCAGCCCCCTAACCTATCCCTGTAACCCTGTATTTCCCATGGCTAATCCACTTAACCAACACATCCCTGGATACTATGGGCAATTTAGCATGGCTAATCCACCTAACCTGCACATTTCTGCACTGTGGGAGGAAACTGGAGCACCCGGAGGAAACCCACGCAGACACGGGGAGAACGTGCAAACTCCACACAGACAATCACCTGAGGCTGGAATTGAACCGAGTTCCCTGGCGCTGTGAGTCAGCAGTGCTAATCACTGAGCCACCGTGCCACCCTCATCTCAGTTCTAAAGGGTTGACCTTCTCTCTGAGGCTGTGCCCTCAGATCAGTCTCTTCTATTTGTGAAAAATCCTCTCCATGTCCACTTTATTCAGGCATTTCAATATTCTATAAGTTTCAATGAGATCTTCCTTCATCCTTCTAAATTCCATCAAATACTGATCCAGAGTCATCAACTGCTCCTCATATGACAAGCCCTCATACCAAGAATAATTTTTGTGAATCTCCTCTGGACTACCTCCAAGGCCAACACATCCATCCTTAGAAATGGGGCCCAAAACTGCTCACAAAATTCCAAATGCGGTCTGACCACAGCATTTATAAGCCTCAGCTCTCATATTCTAAGCCTCTCGAAATGAATGCAAACATTGCATTTGCTTTCCTAATTACCAACTGAACTTGTGTTCATAACTTTGTTACTTTTACAATAGTCATGGAAAAGGGTAGGTACATACAGCAGGGTAAGGTTTATAATTGGGGGAAGGGTAATTACAATTCTGTTAGGGAAGAACTGGGTAACATAAAATGGGAACAGATACTGTCAGGGAAGTGCACTATTGAAATGTGGAGATTGTTTAAGGAATGCAGACTGCGTGTGCTCGATATGTTTGTCCCTAGCAGGCAGGGAAGATGCGGTCGAGTGAGGGAGCCTTGGTTCTCAAGAGAGGTCGAACGACTGGTTAAGAGGAAGAAGGATGCTTATATAAGGTTTAGGAAACAAGGAACGGAAAAGGCTCCAGAGGGATACAAGTTATCCAGGAAGGAGCTGAAGAAAGAGCTTAGGAGACCTATAAGGGAGAAAACCTTGGCAGATAGAATCAAGAAAAACTCCAAGGCTTTTTACACGTTAGTGAGGAATAAGAGGATGACCAGAGAAAAGGTAGGGCCGATCAAGGATTGTAAAGGGAATTTGTGCACGGAGCCTAAAGAGATAGGAGAAGTCCTTAATGAATACTTTTCTTCAGTATTCACAACTGAGAGGGACCTAGTTGTAGAGGAGGACAGTGTGAAACAGGCTGGTAGGCTAGAGGAGGTCAATGTTAGTAAGGAAGATGTACTAGAAATTTTGAGGAACTTGAAGATAGATAAGTTCGCTGGGCCTGATGGGATTTATCCAAGGATTCTATGGGAAGCGAGAGAAGAGATTGCAGGGCCTTTGGCAATGTTCTTTTCGTCCTCACTGTCCACGGGTATAGCGCCGGAAGATTGGAGAGAGGCAAACGTCATTCCCTTGTTCAAAAAAGGGAATAGGGATAACCCCGGAAATTACAGGTCAGTTAGTCTTACGTCAGTGGTGGGCAAATTATTGGAAAGGGCTTGAGACGTGGGATTTATGATCACTTGGAAAGGCACAGTTTGATTCATGATAGTCAGCATGGATTTGTGAGGGGTAGATCATACCTCACAAACCTTATTGAATTCTTTAAAGAGGTGACCAAACACGTGGATGAAGGTAGAGCAGTGGATGTGGTATACATGGATTTAAGTAAGGCGTTTGATAAGGTTTCCCATAGCAGGCTCATGCAGAAGGTAAGGAGGCATGGGATAGGGGGAAATGTGGCAGATTGGATTCAGAATTGGCTGACCCTTAGAAGATAAAGGGTGGTAGTGGATGGAAAATATTCAACATGGTGCTCAGTTACAAGTGGTGTACAACAAGGATCTGTTCTGGGTCCTCTTCTATTTGTGATTTTTGTAAATGATTTGGATGAAGGAGTCAAAGGGTGGATTAGTTAGTTCGCGGATGATATAAAGGTGGGTCGAGTTGTGGATAGCGCGGAGGGCTGCTCTAGGTTACAAAGGGACATTGATAGGATGCAGAACTGGGCTGAGAAGTGGCAGATGGAGTTTAACCCTGAAAAGTGTGAGGTGATTCATTTTGGAAGGACAAACTTGAAAGCAGAATACAGGGTTAACGGAAAGATTCTTGGCAGAGTGAAGGAGCAGAGACATCTAGGGGTTCATGTCCACAGTTCCCTGAAAGTTGCCACCCCGGTGGATAGAGCTGTTAAGAAGGCGTACAGTGTGTTAGCTTTCATTAATAGACAGATTGAGTTCAAGAGCCATGAAGTTATGCTCCAGCTATACAAAAGCCTGGTTCGGCCACATCTGGAGTATTGTGTCCAGTTCTGGTCGCCTCATTAGAGGAAAGATGTGGAAGCATTGGAAAAGGTGCAGGGGAGATTTACCAGGATGTTGCCTGAAATGGAGGAAGGGTCTTACGAGGAAAGGTTGAGAGAGCTACAGCTTTTCTCTTTAGAACAATGAAGGATGAGAGGTGACTTGACAGAGGTGTACAAAATGATCAGAGGTATAGGTAGAGTAGACAGCCAGAGACTTTTTCCTCGGGTGGAGATAGCTATTACGAGGGGGCATATTTTTAAAGTGAGTGGAGGTAGGTATAGGGGAGACGTCAGAGGTAGGTTCTTTACTCAGAGACTGGTCGGGACGTGGAATACATTGCCGGAGAGGGTAGTGGAGTCGGCCTCATTAGGGGCATTTAAGCGGCTATTAGATAGGCATATGGATATTAGTATAAAGTCGGGGTGGAGGTTAGATAGACCTTAGGATTAGGGTAAAAGTTCGGCACAACATCATGGGCCGAAGGGCCTGTACTGCGCTGTACTGTTCTATGTTCTATGTTAACCTTGAGAGTACCCTGAACTAGGACTCCCTAATCCCTCTGAAACTTTTCCCTGTTAAAAAAAAGCCTATGCCTCTATTCTTCCTACCAAAGTGCATAACCTTACACTTTTCCATATCGTATTTCATTTGCCACTTATTTGCCCACTCTCCTAGCCTAACCAAGTCCTTCTGCAGCCTCCCTACTTCCTCGACAATACCTGACCCTACACCTATCTTTGCGTCATCTGCAAACTTAGCAACAATATCCTCAGTTCCTTCGTCCAGATTGTTAATGTATAACATGGGTACTTGTGGTTACACCTCTGTGGAAGTCCACTAGTCATTGGCTGTCGTCCTGAAAAAGACCTTTTTATCCCTACTTTCTGCCTTCTGCCTGTCTCTACCAGCCAGTTCTCTATGCCAGTACCTTGCCCCTAACACCCTGGGCTCTTATATTATTTAGCAGCTTCAAGTGCAGCACTGTGTCAAAGACCTTCTGGAAATCTAAATAAATCACATCCACTGGCTCTCCTTTGTCTAACTTGCTTATTACCTCCACAAAGAATTCTAACAGATTGTCAGGCATGACCACCTCTTGACAAAGCTGTGCTGACTTAACCCTATTTTGCCATGCACTTCCAAGTACTCCGCAATTTCATCCTTAATAATGGACTCAGAAATCTTACCAACAACCGAGGTCAGGCTAACCTGCCTACGGTTTCCTATCATCTGCCTCACTCCCTTATTTATCAGGGGTGGTACATTAGCCATTTTCTAGTCATCTAGGACCCTCCCTCACTCCTAAAAGATCACCACCAATACCTCTACAAACTCCCTATCTATCTCCTCAGAACTCTGGGGTGCAGTACATCTTTTCCAGGTAATTTATCCACCTGACCTTTCAGCTTCCCCATCATCTTATTTAGTGATGGCCACTACACTCACTGCTGCCCTCTGACTCTCTTGAAATTCTGGTATGCTGCTGGTATCTCCCACTGTGAAAACTGACGCAAAGTTCCTATTCAACTCCTGTGCCATTTCTTTATTCCCCATTACTTACTTCACTAGCCTCATTTTCCAGTGATCCAATGTCCACTCTTGCCTCTCTCATACCTTTTGTATATCTAAAAAACTTCTTCTTTATTACAATATTCTTCTTTATTACAGCAAACTTTTTTATTAACTGGCACCTATGGGACCAGGAATGTACCAATTGATCAAATATTCCGGTTCATCAAGAACTCCACATTTTCAATGTAAAAACCCACACATCTCTCTTATACTTTATTTACAGAATAAATTGCTTAAATAATAATGCAACTTTGCTTTAAATAAAACTTACTGGCAGAGAACCTTCTCACTTGCATCCTCAACTGACTACTTGGACATTGCGGTGACTATGATAATACACTAAACTTCTGGAATTTCATGTGTATAATTTTTGCCAGTTTATTAAGAGTGCCAGTTCACAGTGTGCCAATTAAAACAAAGTTTACTGTACTAGCTCACTTACTGTCAAATTTCATCATCCTCCTTATTACTGCTTTTTAGTTATCCTCTGCTGGTTTTTAAAGGCTTCCCAATCCTCTGGCTTCTCACTAATCTTCACCATATTGTCTGATTTTTCTTTTGCTTTTATGTTGTCCCTGACTTCCCTTGTCAGCTATGGATACCTCATCCTCTCTTTAGTATGTTTCTTCTTCCTTGGGATACATTTCTGCTGTGCCTCCCAAATTACCCACAGAAATCCCTGCCATTGCAGCTCCACTGTCTTCCCTGCTACGTTCGTCTTCCAATCAACACTGCCAGCACCGCCATCATGTCTTTGTAGTTACCTTTAATCAATTGTAATACCATTACATCTGAATCCAGATTCTCCATCTCAAACTGCAGGGTGAATTCTATCATCTGCCTGTCTTTTTGATAGGACGTGTATCCTTGGATATTTAGTTCCCAGCTGTGATCCCCTTGCAGCCACGTCTCACACGCTCATTTACCTGGTTTCTTATACTGCTTGCATTTAAGTGCAACACCCTCAGTCCTGCATTGACTGCCTCCCTTTTTGAAGTTGACCCCTTATCTGCTGTGCCTGAAGTTAGATTCCTGATCCTTTCCATACTCTCTGTCCTACTACTTGTTCTTGAAACTTTAATAACCTCTGCTGAGTCATTGCCCTTTTATTTTTCCGTAATTTTTCATTCAACTTAACCCACCCCCGCAGACACTCATGCAGTCATAGAGATCAGTACAACTTATCCATGCCAACCAGATATCCTAAATTAGTGTAGTCTCATTTGCCAGCAGTTGGCCCATTTACCTCTAAACCTTTCCTATTCATATACCCATCCAGATGCCTTTTAAATATTGTAATTGTACCAGCCTCCTCCACTTCCTCAGGTAGCTCGTTCCATACATGCATCACCCTCTGTCTGAAAATGTGCCCCTCAGGTCCCTTTTAAATCTTTCCCCTCACCTTAAACCTGTGCCCTCTAGTTTTGGACTCTTCTACCCTGGGAGAGAAAATCTTGGCTATTTACTCTATCCATGCCCCTCATGACTTTATAAACTTCTATAAGGTCACCCCTCAGCCTCCAATGCATACCAAATGCCTTCTTCACTACCTGTCTACCTGCGACTCCACTTTTAAGGAACTATGAATCTGCACTCCAAGGTCTCTTTGTTCAGCAACACTCCTTAGGACCTTACCACTAAATGTATAAATCCTGCCCTGATTTGCCTTTCCAAAATGCAGTACCTCACATTTATCTAAATTAAACTCCATCTGCCACCAATCAACCACTCGTTACAGTTGATTTAATGTCAGCATCACTAGGATTTATTAGTTGTTGATTCTCTGAGTCTTCATGTCTTTTTCTCCTAAATTATGATACAGTAAAAGAAATGTAAAATCACCATTATCCTACCAAACCATAGGGTTGCTCTGTCAGAGAGAAATGACTGGTGGTGATTTAACCTGAGGGTCACTTCACCAAAGGCAAGGGGAAAGGTTAAGAAGGAGAATCCTTCAAGATAACTTCAGTCAGGGTGGGTTCAATTCCCTCTGCACTGCAAACCAGCCATCCAGCCAACTGAACTAACCAACCCCCTATAATAGTACAGCAAAAGAGACCAATCTTAGAGTTAGCTGTATTTTTATCTTATATTGTACATTCTTTCCGATGAAATGTATGTCATGGCTCAGCTGCTTGATCATATGGATGTAAAAGATCACATGACAGTAATTGAAGTAAAGCAGGGAACTTTGTCAGTGCCCTGGAAACAGTATGTGTAAAGGATGTAATACTTAACAAATCAGACAGGAATGTTTTGGTTACCAGACAGATCTCTTTCTAAATTTATCAGAATCAGTAGTAACCAGTGTATAATTAAGCTCTTACTGTTTGCAATCTCGTTAGTTGAATTCTGAATGCAGCCAAGTCAGTGAGACCTATTTTCTCCTTTCAAAGCTATAAGAAATGGAGCTCTTGATGTTGCCTCACTGCTGTTACGTTTTGGAGCAGCTGTGAATTTGGAATGCATTAATAAGAGGACAGCCCTGCATGAAGCTGCCAAATTGGGCAGCAAGGATTTAGTGGATTTACTGATTCATGCTGGAGCAGCTATAGACGCCAGAAGTGCCATTGGACTCACCCCACTAGCTCTTGCTGCACAGAATGGACATACAGAAGTGGTGAAACGTTTACTCCAAAAAGGTAATTTATAATCTACTCTATTCTTGTCACTTATCTAGATAATTATAACCCAAGGCAGACTGATTTCAAAGATCATAGAATCCCTACAGTGTTTAAACAGGCCCTTTGGCCCAACAAGTCCACACCAACCCTCAGAGCACCCACCCAAACCCATCCCCCTTTAACCCACCTAATCTACACATCCCCGAACACTGAGGGCAATTTAGTGTGGCCAATCCACCTGGCCTGCACATCTTTGGACTGTGGGTGGAAACTGGAGCACCTGGAGGAAACCCACGCAGACATGAGGAGAACATGCAAACTCCACACAGACAATTACCCAAGGCTGGAATCGAACTGAGGTCCCTGGTGCTGTCAGGCAGCAGTGATAACCACTGTGCCACCGGGCCACCCCATGTGAGAGTTTCACTGCAAAGACCCTTTGGGATCTCAGACAGACTTCGATTTCACAATGAACCACTTTCGCACGCTGCCGAATTGAAGCTCAACAAGATCATACAACTTTCAATGTCTTGCTTGGCCCTAGTTGAGATGCAAAGCATCACTGCATCATCAAGTGGAACATAGGAATTGCTAGATGTGAAAAGATTCCATCTGGGTAATCATCTCCCATCCTCTCAGTCACCTGATCCAAAAATAATGGAGTAGTAAATAAAGTAGCAAATTAAGTAGTAAATCATGGCATTCAATCCCTATAAATTAATCTGCAACAGAACCTGACATAACACAAGGAAAAGCCACAGTTGGAGTGTTTCAGGAACTCTGCCGTCTGTGGTGGTGAGTTGGGAGGCTAGATGACAACGTAACTAAATTCTGCTGCCTTTCCACCTTGACCAGAATTAAGTTATGGGTGGGAAGGCACATTTGTTCCACTGCCAGTTAAGGCCTTTAAAAAACCAAATAATGACCACTGAGGGGCCTCATATTGCTGCCACTGTTATTAATTCAGCTTCAGATTTGCATAAACAGCTACAATTGTGTGGCTGGCTTGTCATTTTCTGGGGGGGGGGTGAGGGTGGGGCGGGTGGTGCCTCAATGAAAGGCACCTACTGTCTGATCAAGGGACTTAACATCAGGAATGGGAGACGGCTCTGAGAATGTTATCTGTATCCTTGCTGCCAACTCTTGTTTGTTCACTAAGTAGCAGTAAAGACCCCGACACCTCAAAAAGATGTTGTCCATTAGGAGCACAGCTTCCTGTTCTTCCCAAACATACCACACTTACATGTATCATTTATTCATTGAATAAAACAGCACAGCATGAAGTCATTTGGCTTTCTTGGATCCATGACAAATTACGTCATGCTTCTCCACACTGAAATAAATCTGCCATGTTCCTGCCTATTAACTTCAACTGTTTGAGTTGTTTTATAACTTCTTACATACATTTTCACAACTTACTGTTCCCTCTAACTTAATAATTGCAAACTTGGATGCATAAATCTCTATTCTTTCATTCACATCATTAATATATATCACGTAAAACTGAGGTAACGGGCCAGTACAGATTGCTGGAGAACACAATCTGTCACAACATATGAGAATGCATTCCCTTATTACTTTTCTCTATCTTTTATCAAACAGCTAATTAACAAGCCAAATCTAAGGGTTATTTATGCTGTATAGACTTTGAAGCTATTAATATGTCTATTTGTTGTGATTTTGGTACTTTCATTCATCATTAGAGCACATTTTATTCCACAATAGTTTGTCTAAGTATATTTGTAAATTTTGCCTGATATTGAAACAGGAAAAATACTTTGACTTTTATAAGTTTGATAGGTTTGGCATTCCATATATTTTAAAATGGAGTGCAGGGATAAATCACTGTCTAAAATAATTGAAGTTTTCATTTAAAATGGGTTGCCTACTGGAGTAGTAAGGAAATATGTCATAGAAGCTGATTCAATTTTACCACTGCAATATCGACCAGCAGATCGAACTTTTTATAAATGTTGTTTCTCCTTCTAACCTATCTCCCAAACTTACTGTTGCTGTAAGGCTGCACAACTGATGACTTCAGAGCAGGAAGATGCTTGAGCTGTGCTAGTCAGGGGCAACACCATGTTTTACAATTGGTCTTTTCTACTGACATCTTGTGGCTTCAAACCGTCTTCAGTGTTTAATTTTAAGAACTTATAAGCTGCAGACTCCTTCATAATGATTTTGACCTCACATTTGAGATTCTGGTTCAAGGGATATGTTCAAGGTCTTTATTTATGCAGCTTAATCTGCCCTGAAGAAATTCCAGTTGAGCTGGATTTGTTGCTTATTTAGTCATATATGTGAAGATTTGGAACACATTAGTAGACTTTAGCAGTGGAAGGTGCCTGATGTGAACGTAAACCATGGGTGTATTCAGAGGCTGCTTCTCCAAGTAATCCTTATACTGATCAGCAGATGCTCTTGCCATTTTTTTTATCTATTGTGCAATCCATTGTTCAGGACATAATAATATTCTCACAACTTTATAATTAAGTTCTTTGGAAATTGGATTTATTCCAACCCATTTCACGTTACTCTGTTACAGCTGCAAAAAGCTGACATATGCTCGAACAGGTTGATGTTAGGAAGGAGGATGTGCTAGAAATTTTTAAAACGTGAGGACAGATAAACCCCCTGGGCCAGACGGGATATACCCAAGATTATTACGGGAAGCAAGGGAAGAGATTGCTGCGCCTTTGGCGATGATCTTTGCATCCCCACTGTCCACTGTAGTAGTACCAGATGATTGGAGGGTGGCAAATGTCATTCCCTTGTTCAAGAAAGGGAATAGGGATAATCCTGGGAATTACAGACCAGTCAGTCTTACTTCTGTGGTGGGAAAATTACTGGAGAGGATTCTGAGAGATAGTATTTATGATTATTTGGAAAAGCACAGTTTGATTAGAAATAGCATGGCTTTGTGAGGTGCAGGTCATGCCTCACAAGCCTTATTGAATTCTTTGAGGATGTGACAGAAAACATTGATAAAGGCAGAGCAGTGGATGTGGTGTACATGGATTTTAGCAAGGCATTGGATAAGGTTCCCGCTGGTAGGCTCATTCAGAAAGTAAGAAGGCATGCGATTCAGGGAAATTTGGCTGTCTGGATACAGAATTGGCTGTCCAATAGAAGACCGAGGGTGGTAGTAGATGGAAAGTATTCAGTCTGGAGCTCGGTGACCAGTGGTGTTCCGCAGGGATCTGTTCTGGGACCTCTCCTCTTTGTGATCTTTATAAATGACTTGGATGAGGAAGTGGAAGGGTGGGTTAGTAAGTTTGCCGGTGACACAAGGGATGGTGGAGTTGTGGATAGTGTGGAAGGCTGCAACGGGACATTGACAGGAAGCAGAGCTGGGCAAAGAAGTGGCAGATGGAATTCAACCTGGAAAAGTGTGAAGTGATTCATTTTGGAAGGGCAAATTTGAATGCAGAATACAGGGTTAATGGCAGGATTTTTTATTTAAGAATCCCTATAGTGTGGAAACAGGCCCTTCGGCCCAACAAGTCCACACCGAACCTCAGACCATCCCACCCAGACCCACTCCCTTGTAACCGACCTAATCTACACATCCCTGAACACTATGGGCAATTTAGCATAGACAATTTACATAACCTGCACATTTTGGACTGTAGGAGGAAACCGGAGCACCTGGAGGAAACCCACGCAGACACGGGGAGAATGTGCAAACTCCACACAGACAGTCGCCTGAGGGTGGAATCGAACCCAGATTGCTGGTGCTGTGAGGCAGCAGTGCTAACCACTGACCCACCATGCCACCCAAACTTATACATGGCTGACCCTCTATCTCAGTGCCGTATTCGCAATCTCTCAACACGTTGTAACGAATGCCAACATATTATTTAACCCCTTACTTGCTTATTGCACCTATATGCTTACTTTCAATTAATGCCTTGTCTGAAATCTTTAAACAAGCTGCTTACTCAACTTATTGTTAAACATGGGCTTGTTAAACTCATGTCTTCCTCTCTGACACCTCCACACTACTTCCGGGAGTTATCTTTAATTAGCTTTTTTTAATTAACCAGTCAGAGATGTATTATGCATCTTTGGAGTAGGTGGGAATTGAACGCAGGCCTCTTCGTCCACGGGATTGGGACACTACCACAACAGCCTTCTAAAGAAGCAAGCAAGTAATCATAGAATCCCTACAGTATGGAAACAGGCCCTTCGGCCCAACAAGTCCACACCGACCTTTGGAGCACCCACCCAGACCCATTCCCCTAACCTACACATCCATGAACACTACAGGCAATTTAGCATGGTCAATCCACCTGGCCTGCACATCTTTGGACTGTGGGAGGAAACCGATGCAGGCACAGGGAGAATGTGCAAACTCCACACAGACAATTGCCCAAGGCTGGAATTGAACCTGGGTCCTTGGTGCTGTAAGGCAGCAGTGCTAACCACTGCGCTACTGTGCCACCCTGATAAAGAACAGTCGCTGGATTTGAACCTGGGTCCCTGCCATTGTAAGGCAGCAGTGCTAACCACTGAGCCGCCCTGTGGGTAAAACAGTGCAAAGAATATTATTGCGAGGGAAATTGAGCACATACTTCAAGGATTCTTGGCAGTGTGGAGGAACAGAGGGATCTTGGGGTCCACGTCCATAGATCCCTCAAAGTTGCTACCCAAGTAGATAGGGTTGTTAAGAAGGCATATGGCGTATTGGCTTTCATTGGCAGGGTAATTGAGTTTAAGAACCGCTAGGTTATGCTGTAGCTCTATAAAACCTTGGTTAGATCACGCTTGGAATATTGTGTTCAGTTCTGGTCACCTCATTATAGGAAGAATGTGGAAGCTTTAGAGAGGGTGCAGAGGAGATTTACCAGGATACTGTCTGGACTGGAGGCAGGCCTTATGAGGAAAGGTTGAGGGAGCTAGGGCTTTTCTCATTAGAACGAAGAAGGGTGATAAGTGACTTGTACACCTCTATCAAGATGATAAGAGGCATAGATAGAGTGGATACCCACAGACATTTTCCCAGGGTGGAAATGACTATTATGAGAGGGCATAATTTTAAGGTGATTGGAGGAAGGTACAGGGGAATGTCAGAAGTAGGTTCTTTATACACGGAGTGGTGGGTGCGTGGAATGCACTGCTGGTGGTGGTAGTGGAGTCAGATACATTAGGGACATTTAAGCGACTCTTGGATAGGCACATGGATGATGGTAAAATGTAGGATATGCAGGGTAGTTTGATCATAGAGTAAGATAATAGGTCAGCAAAACCTTGTGGGGCCAAAGGGCCTGTACTGTGCTGTGCTGTTCTATGTCAAAAAGGAGACATTCCTAAGGATGAATATTCATGAATATAACTCAGTGAGATCATCAGGTCTAAGTATGTTAAAATATCCACACCCTTGTACCATTCAGCCTCGCTCCAAACTAACTTGTTTCTCTTTCACAGGAGCTGATGTCCTGTCTCAAGCTTCTGATGGTGTGTCTGTGTTATTTGAGGCTGCTGCAGTTGCAAACTCAGAATGCCTCGCACTCCTATTGGAATATGGGGCTGATGCCAACGTTCCTAAAAATACTGGTCACCTGCCCATTCACAAGGCATCATACAAAGGGCATTATGAGTAAGTCTGAGAACAGTATCTTGGACAGAACACAGCTGCAGTGGTGAATTTTTTTCAAAAATGTTTTTTAAGGTTAAAATATTGTGACTATAATTTAGAGCTAATGTTTGTAATTTCAATTATAGTGGGGTAAGTTGAAAATTGGCTTGTTTCTTTTACTGCCCGTCATACCGATATTTTCAAGGCCTTTATTTATGCAGCTTACTCTGCTCAAAAGAAATTCCAGTTGAGCTGGATTTGTTGCTTATTTATTCATTTTCAAGTCTGCAAGAAACCTTATCCTGATTTAGCCATATGTGAAGATTTGGAACAGATTAGTAGACCCTAGCTGTGGAAGATGCCTGATGTGAACGTAAACCATGGGTGTATTCAGAGGCTGCTTCTCCAAGTAACCCTAATACTAATCAGCAGACACTGTTGATTTTTTTGTCTGTTGTGCGATCCATTGTTCAGGACATAATAATATTCTTACAACTTCATAATTAGGCATCTTCTGTACAAATTTCAAGGCACTGTAACAGTCGGCAAAGGACTAGTTCACTGTGGTCCAACAATATTAATTCTCAGTTTTCAAATTGTAACTCCTTAGAAATTTTATTTGCCTGCAAGGGGCTAAAACATTTTACAGGAATCTCATGCAAATTGTCTCTGCTTTCTTTTTCATAAAATATTCTGCTCAAGACACTTCCTCTCTTTTAATAAAATTGGCAACTTTTTCTGTCAATGTAAGAAATATTTAACTGTGGACTTCTTTGTTTCTTCCAACTCAACTCTACCAATAGTGGAATAAAAATAGAAAATGCTGGAATTACTCAGCATCTGCGAAAGACAACTAGATAATGGGCTCGATTTTCCAATATCTTCCAACTGATATATTTGAGTTGCCTGAGCCCCCCAAAAATGTCCCCAACCCTGATCTCAATGTCAGTCACTTGGATCTGCTGCATAGTACTTTGCAAGATATTCACCCTAGTGTTGTGCCACTGCTAATTTCTGCTGCAGATCGGTGATTAACAACAGAGTCTTCTCCTTGTAGTTTCCCTCAGATCTCAACCACTCCAAACCAGTAGACCTGGCTACAAGGACAAAAAATGCTAGACATGTATTTATCTTCGCAGTCAGCGATGGTTGCTTCAGCACCACAACTAATCAGAAAATTTAGCCCAACATTCTACGTTGGGATGTTCCACCAGGTGCCTCAACTAGGAACTGTTCATTTTAAATTCACACAAACACTAGTTTCCTTTTTGCGGAATAGTGGGGACATATTGGAAAGATTAGCAGGATGATTTTAAAACTGATGAACAACATTGTGAACATTCCTTCCTTCACCAAAAAGTAGTCTTGAACTCAGAGTTTCTGGCTCAGAGGTAGGGGCACCAAAACTTAAATTACAATTGTTGCTCAACATCTGTCTAAAATAAAAGTAGATAAATGCTGTGATGAATCTTTTCTTGTAAGCATGTTGTTTTGTACTATAGAAGTCAGAATTCGGGGAGAACGTAACATGCAAGAGACACTCAGTTCCAATTTGTTGTTACATTTGACTGTTCGAAAATATTTGCAACATGCAATTCTGCCTCAAAATAGAGGTGGGAGTAGTTGCAAGGTTTCTAATAGGCCACGGAGAGAGTTTGAGTCACTGAAGTGGAATTCAATGAGATTGTGAGAGTGGAAGTCAGTACGTGAGAGAGAGCAGACTCCGTGTTAGAAAGTGCTACTTTTATCTCTACTGCTGGAGAGGCAACTGAATTTCACAGGGTCTACATAAGGGTCTCAGTGATAAATCCCAAAAGAAGATAGGTGGCTCTGTGGAATTACAGCTCAAGGAAATCCTGGATACTGTTTGGTAGCTCAAAAAAGTCTGAGAGTAATTAATACTTTAGTATAGTTTAGAATGAGGATTGAGAAGTCCGCAAAGTGTTTGTTTGATTCAAACAAGAAAGATTAGACAAATGCTCCCAAGTGTTGGTGAAGATAGCTGTTGGTGAAAAGCTGGAATTGTACCTGTGAGTAAGTAGTGAAGTTCTGGAGTCCAGGTGGGTGTAAACCTAGGAAGGAAGGTTGACTGACCAGAATGGGAGATGACATTGAAGTAGTCCATGACGGAATGGCTTCAAGGCCACATCAACAGTATTGAAGAATTGTAATTCCTTGTGAAATCTAACAAGATTTAATAACCCACTGTGTCAATAACATCTGCAGTGAATTGCTGAGAAATTTGTGGGATCTATCTTTTACACTTCTGCTATTTGATCTAGGGTGAGGGGTGTTCGATCAGTACATTATCCATATTTACCACGTCTTAATTCAAGTCTTCTAGAATATAAATTTATGTGCATTGTAGATTGTATAGCTGTTCTAATGTTGTAAAACTTATTGTTACTCACTCAAAACTGTGGAATTTTGCACATCTATTCTCTTGGTCTCATACTTTACTACTTTATGAAAAAAAAAGTGATTGGATCCTAGTCAGATTGTAACACAAGTTGGTGGTTTTGACCAGGATCATAACAATGCTTAAATGTTAGACCTTATGTCTGACTGATAAAGCTGAAACATTACTTACCCTGGAATCCTTTACTTTAGTACTGACAGATCTACTGCGTTATTCTAAAATGTTATGATTTGTAGTTTTTCTTAATTATTAAAATTTATTCATCTCATTTTCAAAAGATCATTGAAGCAGTTGATCCCAGTTACAGATTACTCTGCTATCAAAGAGAGTGGGATAAGTCCAGTGCACTCTGCAGCAGCAGGTGGTCACCCAGAATGTCTCAAGTTGCTTCTGCAGTTCCACTTTGATGTCAATTTCATGCTTGCTCAGAGGCTTCGAAGAAGTTATGATGATCACAGAAAATCTGCTCTCTATTTTGCTGTCTCAAATAATGATGTTTATTCTACTCGGCTCCTCCTGGAGGCTGGAGCACTACCAAACCAAGATCCTATCAATTGTCTTCAGCTAGCTCTGAGACTGGGCAACTACGAACTCATAAACTTGCTTCTTCGGCATGGGTCCAATGTAAATTACTACTGCAGAGTGAACACGACTCATTTTCCATCTGCTTTGCAGTATGCATTAAATGATGAAGTTACGTTGAGGATGTTGTTCAGTTATGGATATGATATCCATCGATGCTTTGATTGCCCTCATGAAAACAAAATTCATCCTCAATTTTCCTCTGAAGGATGGACACCATCAGTCATTAAAGACAACATGGTAGGTATAAATTAGTTTCCATATTCCAGTGTTAAATAAACTGGGTACTTCACAATGGCTTTGTCACAGATCCCTGGTCAACCGCAATTACGTATTGCTGGCATCCTGCAGTCATCAGTGCTCACTACAACAAGAATCAATTGGATAGGAACTTATGACTGAATGTGCAGCTAAACACTGACAGTGAGAAAATGCTGTCCTTTGGTTCTCCAAAGCCTTTGCTATGTGAGTATCTTGCTCAGAGACTCATCACTCAAAAACACAGAAGGATACAGAATTGTGATTTTTTTCACTGATAGATTATGCCTATATTCTCTTATTCTATCAGGAGGAAAAAAAAGATTGTGACATCTTTTGTAGGTGGGTAAGAAGAGATCCACCAAAGTTAATTGGGTTCCTTAAAGGCAGGGACAGGAGACTTTATAATGGGGAATAAGGAAATGGCAGAAATTAAATAAAACGTGTGTGTCTTCATATTAGAAGACATAAAAATATATCAATTGCTGAACTCAGAAAATGTCTATTTTTGATCTTCCTATTCCAAAACCACACTGGGATTCAGGAAAGATGCATGAAGCCAGGATCTGCAGTCTGACAAGGGCAACTAGGCAAATACTTCTCACACAATGCTGAGCAGGTAGATGCCACAAAAGTTGTTGCAATCCTTCTCATACAGGGTCACGACTTTGCATCATGCATACCCTGAGGCATTACCCTGGCAGAGACCAAGACATTTGTGGAGATGGTAGAAGAGTGCTGGTTTCCCATGATTGATGAATTCAAATGGCATAGCAGCAATACCTGGAGTTTTACCCGTGAGAAGCAAGTCAATGGTTTTGCTATGTTCCTCTACTGTGGGTTCAATATCCAGATCTATTCTGAGAAGCAGGCTGTCCATGGCACCTAGAGTTTCCTTAGTGAGTGTTCTCCCTAAACTACGACGCAAGTGCTTGACCCATCTTTCTAGTTGTTTATGCAGTCAGTGAAGACTTCACCTGCCTTTTATTCAATGGAGTTATTTTCTCTTCCAGTGGATCTGTTGCCTTTTTGATGCGTACTGTTAGCACCACCTGTCTTAAAGGACAACTGGATTTTCTGGCAAAGTTGTAACAAGTAGGCATTAATGCACTATGAAACGGTCTTTTGGACTTTACTTCAAGCTTCAGCACATGGTAGATCAGACCTCTATTGTAGTTACTGAGAATGGACAACTTGGCTTTCATGACACTTTGATGTTAGATTCAAATCAGTAAACATTTTTGGTTAGTACTGCTACTATTTTGAAAGTGCGGCATTGTACATGGTTTCTCAAATTACGCTCCATTATGCTTCTGTATTTTTCTATAGGAATGCTGGAGAGTTCCTATTCAATTTGAAGAACAGTTGGTTTTTATTTGGGTGGACAATTTGGATGACATTGATAAGAGGACAGCATTTCTGCTTTGAATGAAAAATCTTCAACTGCTCTTTCTTAGACCAACTGCACACCAGGCACTGACTTTTTTTCTTTCATAGGATGTAGGTGATGCTTTCACAGCCAGCATTTATTATCTATCCCTAATTGCCCTTAAACTCAATGACTTGCTGGACCTTTTTCAGAGGCAGTTAAGAGTCAATCAAAATGTTGCTCATATGGTGTCATGTATAGTCACAAGTAAAGGCCATTATTGAATCAGATGAGTTTCTTTTTTACAACAATCAATGACATTCCAGTGGTCACCATTACTGAAATTATCTTTCAATTCAGGCTAATTATTAATTAAATTTAAATTCCGCATGCGGTTTGTGGAAATTGAACCCACATTCCCAGAGGTTTTTAGCACAGGCTTCCAAATACAAAATCAATTTTCAACCAGCACCCTCTTGCCTCCTGCCACTACGCCAATTTTTGAGCCAATTTGTAAAACTGCTTCATATCTCACAGGCTGTTAACTTCTTGACCAGTTTCCCACATGACACCTTGCCAAAAGCCTTACTGAATTCCATGTAGACAACTTCCACTACACAATCTTCATCTACACACCTAGACACTTTCTCAAGAATTTTGTTCAAATTTGTTGGATAAGATCCCTGCATGACAAAGCCAGGTTAGCCCTGGACTGTCATTATTTTCTTTTTAAATAGCCACCACTGATTGAATATAGATTTTCCTAAAAGTAGCAGCTCCCAGTCCATTTTGGCTAGATCCTGCTTTAGCAAAGTAAAATTACCCTTCTCCCAATTCAGACTCTTTACTTCCATAATATCATAGTGAGTTATTGTCACTGTCACCATAATATTCTCTCGCTGGCACTTATACCAATTGCCTGACTTAGTTGCCCGAATGAAGTCCAGCACCCCCTCCTCTCTTGTAGTACTGTCTAAGTATTGGCTTAAAAATCTCACCTGTTAACAAGTTCAAAAATTCTGCCACCTGAGTCTTTTATTCTTTGTCTATGCAGATTAAAATTGGGGAATTGAAATCCCCTGTTATCACCTTAATGTTTTTACACTCTGAAATTTGCCAATGTCTGCCCTGCTATCTCAGCCTGACTGTTTGGGAGTCTATAATACATTCCCAATAATATGGTTGCTCTCTGTCTGTTTTGACATTCTACCTATCAGGAATTGAGGAACCTTCTAAGATATCATCTCTCCATTATTGCAGTATATCAACTCCTTGGTCAATATTACACCACCACTTCCTCTTTTACAATCTCCTCCCCAGTCATATTTGAAGTGATCATACTCTGCAATACTGATTTTCCAATTTTGTCCATCCCTCAACCATGTCTCCACTATTGCAAAACCATCATTGCCCCATGTGTTAGTTAGCAATCTAAATTGATCTACCTTACACACAACACTCACTACATTAAAATAAATGCTATCCAGTCTTGCCATGCCCTTGGGCCTTTCCTTGACAATATATGCTCTGCCTTCCATGTTGACATGAATTTTCTTCTTTGTTTATCGGTGCCTTCCCCTACTGTACCAGTGCTGTAAAATGTGAAGTTGAGGTGATCAATTATGATCATATTGGATGGTCAAAGGTCTGAATAGCATGCCCTGTTCCTATATCTTAAGTTACTCACCTTTCACAAGTTCAGATTTTTTAAACAACATACTCAGTGCATCTGTAACTATTAGACAATTCCAGATCAATAAGCCATGTATTATGGATTCTGGCTTAATTTGGCTGTTTTCAATAAGAAGGTAAATAGGTTCCAAGTCTTTGAAGAAGGGAGAGGAAAAATCTTTCAGGGATTTCACTCCCGCTTTTCGAGTATCCTCAGTTGGAATGTGCATGTGAGCATATCGGGCAATCACATGACAGCTTGACTCCATCCTCTCCACAATTGAACGGATGGCTGCTGTTTCCTGAACAGACCCCAGTATGACAAATCAAAACAGTCAGTAGTGAAACAATGCTACAATTGGAATTGTTTAATTCTTCACCACTGAAGTATTCTAACAAACAGAAATTCACCAGTGTGATAATGAATTTGAAAAGACACACATTTGGAGGTACAAAATAGACGTTCTGAATACAAACTTCTGAAGCTTCAGGAGTAAATTACACAGTTTAGTCCATTAAACTGGAATGTGCTACAACTTTGTTCTCGCTCAAAAAAAGTTTTACTGTTGTGAAATGTTATTAAATTCAGCTATGGTCAATGCTTTTTTATTATAATTTGAAAAGAAGAAAACTTTTTGATCATTTGAATTTCTATTTCAGTTTTGTGAAGTTATTACTTTAAACTGGTTGAAGCACCTATCTGGAAAAGTGATCCGTGTGATGTTGGATTATGTGGCTCATGTTCATTTCTGCTCTAAACTGAAAGCCACACTTCAACAACAAAATGAATGGCCAGAAATCAGGCATATCTTGAGTAAGTTCCTGATCATTTGGTTTCAACATCCTTTGTAATCAAGGTGCAGTCATAAGTGTTAGAGCTGCATAATGGCATTTCCAAGATACATACAGGGTGCATCTATACTATAAATTCAATGTAACAGAAAATAGTAGCAATTGTAGCAATTCCAAAATTGCAGTCCTGAGTTGAACCCAACACCTCAGAGATTTCTTGGGTTTGCCATTGCATGGAATATAACCCTACTATGCTGTCAAACATTTTAAAAATGTTGAAAAACAAAGTTGCTGGAAAAGCTCAGCAGGTCTGGCAGCATCCGTGAAGGGAAAAACAGAGGTAACGTTTCGGGTCCAGTGACCCTTCCTCAGAACCTTCTAAGGCGGTTTCCTTCCCTAAAAGACTTTAGTGAACCAGATGGGTTTTTCCGACAACCGACAATGGATTCGCAGATAACAAGGTGTAGAGCTGGATGAACACAGCAGGCCAAGCAGCAGCAGAGGAGCAGGAAAGCTGACGTTTCGGGTCTAGACCCTTCTTCAGAAATGGTT